ACACATTTTTGCTACTGCCTACGAAAATAGGTGATGAAATGTTGTCTTGTCTCTTGTCTTCGAAAGGGTATCAGTACTAGCACGGTCCTCGTGCCCTCTGCAATATGTAAGATAGCTGTAAGGAGAAAAGAGAGAGAGAGAGAGAAAGAGAGAAAGAGAGAGAGAGAATTAACATGATTGATAGAGATATACCGAAGAATATTTTTCAAGTCAAAAGATTAATTTTGTGGTGCCGTGTTTAAGGTATATTAATTCTTTCGGATGTTGTATGTATGATTGATTACGTACAGTATACACTCCCTCCCATATAGATTTCAATTCAAAATTACTCAGTCAAAGGCATGTACTGAAAAACTATTTCCTGTATCAGGCCATAGGCCTGTATAGGAGGTCTATCCAGTAAGACTGTTCTAGGACGTTCTTGTTTACTTTGCCCCATATTTAGGCATTTTGTATAGCATTGCCTGAATTTTCTTTATCTTGTATGTACGTCGATGGTTCTGCCACATATGATTGTACAAATCCGTGCAATTCAGCTGTTGTACATGTACCTCATGCTGCGAGGCTGATTTTCGCACTAAACCTGTAAACTGTATGTACGTTACCTGGATAGTTTCTCTATCAGGCCTTGTGTCCAGGGTTCAGAGCAGTCAGATCCTCCCAGCGGCTCGGCACAGGTCGGCAAGTAGCGCTATCCTGTCTGGGGGGAAAGTCACAGTATCAGACCAGTAACATGTGTTGTTACCTTTGGTAGAAAATCTACAAGGACTGTAGAAAATCTACGTAGGACTGAAAACAGTTAAGGATGCAACAGATAAAAAACAGGAAAATATATGTGTCTCAGCAATAGCAATGTAAGTTTCCTAAAACTACGTAGAAAAAAGAAATAGAGGAAATTAGCGAACTGTTCGTAAGATAGTTGTTCACTAGTGATGTCGAAAGATTTCGGTCATACGCTATAAGTTGTAATTGTTACAAGAATCTCCACTCTATGCATGATACTCAGAGTCAACACAGATCAGTTGCTTTTCCTCTTTGAATGACACAAACTAGGTTAAAAAATCTTAAAATACTTCTTATAATCATTCATCCTTACATGCATGCTTCATATATACTCAAGCTACAGTGGGCCCGTATCAGGTGCGCCTTTAGCGTAATACGAATGAACTGCAGATTGCTGTAACTGTGACATTCTAATTCTGACACACAATATTATATTGTTTACAAAAGGTGAATCGGTATGGAAAGACTTAATTGTCTGCAGTGTAACCACGGAGCAGTTTGGATTTGGAAAAAGAATCTAACACAAAACGCGATAGAATATATAATATCATTGCCTGCATGGTCGGGCAGCATATAGCCAAATATATGTTGTTTTTATTTGCAAAATTATGCACGAAGGCTAGTTTCTTTTGCAGAGCCAAAGATATAAGCATGCACAAAGCAAACAACAAACAATGAGAGTCGTATTACCAGTCATTTTCAAGGAGCGCTTTCCTCTCAAAGCGTGGAATGCGAACGGATTGGGCGCCCGGATGTCATAGCTCCGAGATCCTCTGACGAACGGCTCTTCCGTTTCACCCCCGACAGCGTCCCGACTCAAGTCCGACTGAAACACAAGAGATCATTCAATGCAGCAACATAAGAAACCGCTAGGTGCGCTACTGTGCCGTGCGTTCGTGTCAAGTGTATTGGATAAAGTAGATCCATTTAGACGATTAAAAGAAAGGTTGGATTTAACAATAGATACAGTGATATGAAGTAGTGTATAGTATTTGAAGCATCTGACATGACAGTTTTCAAAATCTATCCAGTTGTTGGATAACAACAATCTCCATAGTACAACTTTGGTTTTCAGTAGGTACGTCCTGCGTTCTATTTCCTGGTGATCTTCTTAGTTTTCTAGCAAGGATGTCCTCATTAGCCTTGTTGAAACACGTCACTTAGGTGCACCCCCGGGAAATATGTGCGCCAGTAGCGGCGTGGGTGCCCATCGTAATGCCCCCTGCTCCGTGTCTTAACGGTAAAAATCGCAATTAAGACAACGTAAATGTCATCAGCATTACCATTCGTCGTTTACGACTAGGAAAAGCCTCGGGCAATCATAATGTGACACAGCAATCAGCAGGGAAATTGGTGTTTTCTGAGACGCGACGGGAGAGACATGATCATGAGAAGCCTGGGCCAACATCTGCGTCTTTCTTAAGGCGTAATTAGAGATGAAATCTAAATCAGTCACTCACTAAGAAGCATTAATGGGCCACGGTGAACTCAAAGTTGATCAACGACATTCTGTTAGTAAAAACATTTTACAGACAAGAACTGAAAATAGTTTGACTTCATACCATACCAAGGCCAGATAATGTTTAGCTAATTATGTTCATGAAACGTTTGCATCAATTGAGTTTTTGTCAATCCTTTATATTCAGGTGCTCAACGGACGGTTTCCGTTCCCCTCAAGGAAAACACGCATTATCTGATAAAGCCATTATTATCATACATGATTTTCATACAAGCTGGGGCATTTTGAGCTCTCAGTTATGTTTAGGCATTAGTGTGATTCTGATTACGTATGGCAAACATTTCATACATTGAGCCCAGAACTACTCTTACGTGATCTAGAAAAGATGCGGAGATTTGCGGTATTGTGCAGTTTGTCCTGGGTTTACGGCTTGATGTCCAGTAGTAACGACATCTAACAGACTCTTCGTGACATTCCTAGGCTCTTGTCGTTATTTTCATATCTTGTAGACGCTAAAACATAGATGGTTATATAATGTAATGATACTTCCGGCCGCGTTAATAACAGGAAATCCTTATGCAAACGTTACATTTTCTACTTAGTGACCGACAATAGTCATAAACAGGTATTTTGGAGTACCCATTCCTCCAAACAGGAATATCCGATGGATTTAGGCCTTGGAAAAATGTTGTATTTCTTGACCGACCCTAGCAAAAACCCACTGACCCTAGCATTTTATTAGCCCACTGCTGGCAAGGGACATAAAAACTCACTGATTATAAATGTATGACACAGTATGAACACAATACTCTCCAAGCAGAGGTTTGGGTTTTGGGTTATTTTTGGTGTGTTTTTAAGGCTTTCTTATCGGGGTTTCTTTATTTGCACTGGAATTTGTTACCGATAAAACGCCAAAAACACGCCAAAAATAACCAAAACCTCTGTTTGGAGAGTATAAACAGAATAAAAGACACGATGAAGAGTGCACGACGCATTCTTCCGCTATCCCAAAATATCCGCCACATGCACAATCAGTACACAATGGTTCTCCTCATATCCAGTTTTAAAAAGCACGCTGACGCCTGCACTTCAGTCTGCTAGCGTTTAGCAACAGGTCTGCTATTTTGAGCGACGGAAGGGATCAAATTACCTCTCAGGAGGTCATATGTTGTGGATGCAGTTAAGTGGCCCTTAGTTTCCGCTGTATTGATTCACATAGACGAAACCAGTATTACGTTCCTACTAACAAGAATGACTTTTTGCAATGTTTTCCTTGAAAAATGAGCCTATTGAGAAATTGATGAAGATTTCCTCTACGCAGCAGAGTGTTTAAAGTTTCTTGAGGTTACATTTGCTTTGAAATGTATGAAAGAGCATCCGGCTTTTCACACCGTACATTTGTATCGGACAATTACGTAATCTTTATGCCTATATTTGTTGATTGTGTTAGTTCCAGACGTATTTTCGCTCGAAGGGGCATACACGGCGATTCACGACCAATATAAGTGACAGGAGAACGATAAAACGTCGATATAACACTTACAGGCAATCCTAACTCTTATTAAGCTTCTACTCAAACGCAGTTTTCATCTCAAAGGATAGCCTAAAAAAACAGCGCGAACTTTTTTCTTTAGCAACGGAATAAAAGAAACCAGAGCGTTTATTATTTGAACTTTTTCTATTTCAAATCAAGGCATTAGGGGAAATTACACGGTAGATATCATGATTTTGTCGTACCTAGAACATAATAATACCGGCACCACGTATTGCATTAGTGATAAGGACCTGAGGAATACATAAAACATTTTTGTGCAAGTTGATATCAACTCTGTTCTTGCTGTTTTTGGCAGAGGAGTCTAAAGACTGTTGGGAATTTTGTCTCTCTGGCGTCAGCAGAAGATGGATTTGAACCACTGTGTCTGGCTTTGAGGTAATTTGTAGCTGCGTCACAAGTAGAAGCACGGCATTATTTTGATAAGACTGAACATCAATATACATTATCGACTCTACATAAAGACTTTGCGGCCCATTTGGTCAGTTGGAATGTCCCAGGTTTGCTTGTTCGATAAGGATGTTCATATGAAAACCGCAATCTTTCCAATATTCGTCAGTCCACCTGCCACTAGATGTTATGCCCCTCTACAAATTGTGATTTGTCGTGAGCGGTCAAGCTTTCTGGGCGTTGGGAAGAACAATCGGGTTTCAACACCAAGGACAGGATCAAGATGTACAAAACACTCTATACTAGGCCTAAAGCTTTGGTCATAGGTTAGTTTCAGTTTTTTGTATTGTGCCTTTAAACTACGTATTTGATATCTTGGTGGACAGAATGACTATAAATGTATTCAGGCGTTGTTCGACTGGACTGGCTTGAATCCAAAGAAGCTTTGCTAAAAAAAGTAAAGGTTCTATGATACTTGATGTAAAATTGCTCAAATGGATCATCTCAAGTGCTCTCGTTGCCACCCCGACGTTTTGCTCTTAGATTCGTGCGAACATAAAATTTTGGGTCACATCTACAGAATTTCGCACACTTTGTACTGAAATACTGAAGTTGATGACTGCCTGCTGGCTTAAATCCAGAGACGCCGTGCTCACGTAACTGTTCTACGAAATACTTCTTGAGGTACGATTGCTCGAATGGATCATCTCGAGTGAGATCGTTGGCACCCCGACTCTCATAGATTCGTGCAACCATTAATTTGGGTTACATGTACAGAATTTTGCCGACTTTGTACTGAAAACCCGAAGCTCTTACCTCGACGTTAATGATTGCCTGGCAAAATCTTCCCAGTTCCGTGTCGGGAAGGCCCGGGTCGGCCTCACAGGTCACCAGTAAAGCACACAGGCCCAGAAAGATCGCCACCGCCGCTGCTTTCATGTCTGCTCCGTCACCTCAACAGTACCGTGTCACCGAAATCTGTCCTGTCCGGAGACCACTGTGGACCGGGTAAGACCCTCCTCGGTATTTAAAGGAAACCCTGGTCCGTACCACGTGATAGCGGCGTGTAACAATGTTGTCACTGCTTTTCTTCCTCGCCATTGGCTGGTTATAATTAGTTGGAGTGTGACTATTGCTAGTTTGAGTGGAGAGTAGAAATGCGTCAGATGGAGGGTTTTGTTTGTGTCTTAGGGGATCACGTTGTTCGGAGGGAGGATTTAGTCCCTTACTTGGAGTGTTGTTTCAATTCTAGCGGTTCTTGAGTCAAGTTAAGCCAAATGCTTAGTTTTTATGGTGACTTTTAAAGTGTATACTATTATCAGAGTATCTTAGGGGCCCCTTAATGCTCAACTGTTATCCGGGAGCTATCTTCTTTCACAGTTAGTCTAGATGTCAGGTAAAAAAAACACACAAGCTCTCTTTGTCAGGGTTTGAAGACCCTATACCACCGTTTTCTTCACGTGGTATTACGTGTGTCTAGCATTGAAGGTGTTAATTTTAGACAGTGAGTCTTTCCCGTCAGGCCTGACCCTGTACGCTTCTCCCTTAAGGACCACACTTTGATATTTGTTTTTAAAATATCATAACTGCCGCCCACAAGTCATAAAACTGGGGTTGCCAGGGCTCGAGGGACTCAGCGATCCTAGTTCCCGATAGGCTAATTTCAAATTTCAAATTCCTAACGGTCACCATGACGTAGTAGGTCGTTTGTGTTGTAATGGCTTCCATGATTTAGATTTGAAACACGGCACCTTGTGAGCTAAAGAAGTTTGCGTTTCTCTCCAAGTAGAATCATTCGTACCTCTACGCATCTTTAATTTCATTCTTTTAACTCTCAAAACAGAGGTGTGCTCCTTCCACGACATGCGTGGAAAACGCATTGACAGATGAAAGCATACGGATAAGGAAAGAGGCCATGTTGCCTAACAACTTACCCATGTTAGTCACTCAAAAAGTATATTGGCTATTTTTACACATTATCAAAACACATCAACCGTTACTCAGAACAAATCAACCATTACATAAATCATATCAAAGTACCATTTCCCACCCACTGTCCGCTTAGGGGAAATTGCCAGAGTCATTTATTTGTCCTTTACGTTATATTGATTCAGAACAAGCTAAATTTCCCATGTACCAGTTAATTATGTTCTCTCATTTACATTGAGTCCCGAGGCCAAATGACGAAAGTAACCAAAATTGTTCCGGGATTTAAAACGCAGTTGTGGGACATAGGACCACAGTAGGACACAGGTAGGCTAGGCTATTCATGTGGTTAGTAAGATGAACGTGTTATAGCGATGGAAAACAAAATCACACAAATAAATGGACGTCATTTATATTGACACCCGAGGCCAGTTGACGAAAGCAATCCAACTTGTTCAAGGATTTGTACTGTTCACAGCAGGACACAGGTAGCAGGATGTACAGATGGGTAGTAAGACGTATGGGTTATGGATATGGAAAACAAAATCACAACAAATAAATGGCCTCCCGTTCCATCTGGAGGTTTGCCCACCAACGGACAAAAGTAATCACCAAGTCCTAATGATGCTCCCACGGCGACTCATTTCTTTGATTTGCTTCAGGGTTTTTCAGACGTATATTCATCAATCCGAGATGAGCTGTGTGATGTCTAACAAACAACATTTCCTTGTATTACCTGCCTACAGTTTTATCAGCCTATATTGATAGTTGTTACAATACACACTAGATTCTCAATCATTAGCACTGACTACCAAACAAATGACGATATAATCTGGGTGTGCATGTTAGTTTCCTTTTCGGTTTTGACGTATTTTTCCTTACAACGATTTTGTCCTGTATAGTTCACTTAATCCCGCGTAACACTGGTAGTTTTGGTAGCTATTTTTACTAGTTAAGTTCTTTTATTCACAACCATTTGCTTAACACGAGTCTCGATCACAGTCTGTCTTCTTCATCTTCATGGATAAAAGAGATTTACTATTCAATCATTCTGCAAACTGATGAATCTATTTAAGGCGGTAGCTATTTTTGTTCCGTGTTGTTTGGATCAAATTGTTGCAAGCTTGAAACTATACATCCGCCTTTCTTAGTAACATCAGCATAGTTTTTTTTTTTTCAAGTATCTCAGCCGACAATTTGAAACCGGGAAATGGTCTCCGGCTGTCCCGGTCCTCAATAGAATATTGAATACTAGTATTGAATAGAATAGAAATAAACTGAACTTGAGGTAACTTCAGGCTGCTTTACAACGCTGAGGACCGCCATAGCCTATGCCACAGGGCACTACACAACTCGCAAAGCCATGTGTTCTTCCACGTGTGTTTGGTAAGTAAACTAAGAGGCTGTTTGAATAGAGTATACATGTGGAGTGGGTACTAGTATATACGATGGTCGTACAGCATTTACATATTTGATTGGATCAGATTTTATCCATGAGAAGCTCAAATAAGCCTTCAGAACTCTGCAGACAATTTACTTTCTAGAATGTAGATAAGCTACTGTGATAATTCCTTTGTAGATTGGTCCATTCTTTCTACTCGCAATTAGCCCTAAGGCATGAACTTGCCATAAACATATCTTTGTACTCCAACGTTCGGTCTGTAATCTGTTGCATGCAGCTCATTACCAAACACGTTGACGTAACCAGCACCAATCTCAGAGTGACTCCTCGAGCTTCTTGTAAACGTCCTTACTTTGCAAGCTTGTATAATAAGAGTGTTACTGTGACGTCAAGGGTCGTAGGAAGTGTGTTACAATAGCACTTCTTTTCCTAGACTAAACACGAACCACGGCAATCTAACTGCTTCAATTGCAAGCACCACTTGACAGTGCGGACATCCGTTCCCGGGTTTTCCGTGGATGCGGTTGCGCCTCTTGTGTGGAACACATGTCAGTGTCATCTGCACTTCAAGCACGGCTTCGTATGTGAAGATTCCTGGTCCTCAATATTCTATTCTAAGTCAGCGTATGTATGTACGTTCCACGTTTTATACAAGTGTCAGCGCCATGGGACGAGGGTCTATTGGAACTAGTAATTAATGTGTAGAGGAGCTATCATGTTCATGTATTACCATTGAAGGACTATCTATTACAAAATCGTGATTCAGATATTCTATATGAAGTACACTTTAGCAAAAAGCAAATGCAGCATTTGTTCCGCAACAAAAGTTTGGTGATACAGGAGAGTTAGACTCTTGAAACTGATGAGGTGCTGCTATTCTTGGTAACTTTACCGAGCCCTGCTCCCGCTTTTGCCCGTGTATTTATCACCCGTGGTAAGATATCCGGTCAGTTTGACAACACGGTTCACAGCCGTGCAGTGTAGCCAGGCTCGCCTGTGTCCAGCACAACTGTGACAAACCACAACACTGACCCTATCCGGCATTCCATTTGGACACGTTGATTTGATTATACGGATGCCATCCGCGCGCGCATGAATTTTCGTCCGTTTCCAAAAAGAAAGTTTTCGACCATACTGTAAACGATACAAAGGTACTTATGTCGTAAAATGCCAAAATCCATTCCAAAGGACAAAAAGAAAATGTGAAGGAATGAAAATGAAGAATTTATCATTCACCATGCCAATAAAATATTACTGTGTGTTTAGTCATTTGTTCAACCTTCTTGACCACGTAGATTTCATAATGAAGGCATTTTTGCAAGCTCGCGTCACAGTTTTTTTGTTCCAAGAGGATGTCATCCATATAATCAAATCAACATAACCTTAGCCAGATTCTCAAAGCTAGCTTCCGCAGCGCAAGCCGAGAAAGGCCGTGGCTTTGACCGGTGTGTCTGTAGTGACCACGGCCTGCCTGGTCACCTTACCCCTGCCGCTGTGATCGTGACTTCCCGCGTTATTCTGAAGTACGTACTGATCTGCCGGAACCCGGGTCCTGACGGGAGACGGGCAGGTCGTGACGTATTTCGGGCAACAGTTTTCCTGTAGTGACGTGTTAGTCCTTCATGGTAACTTAACATCGGATACCGAGAAAAATCAGTACATAGAGGCCTCACCTTACTTTCTATTGGTCTGTACTATTGGTTTAAGACGGGTTGTTCAACTCCACGGATACTACTACTGTGACACATCCTTTATATTTTACAAACGTGAAGATCCGCACAACCTCAAGCGGATTTCAGGGAAGCTAGAAACCACGTCCTTAGGATTTCTGTTATGTGAAAAAAAATCATACTTAAACATAAAAAAAAATTTAAAAAGCATTGTATGATAAGGTTTTTCTAATCATTTGTGCCGTTCGTAACACATGCCATTGGTCATGACAGCCAAGAAGCTATCTCTGTAATGAAAAACACCGGTCCTCTATAAGCTAGAGTGTGAAACATTATCAACTTGTTGAATCATCAAGACTGGCTTCTCCATGACCCTTGGTATGCCCTTGCTTTCCAGTTGGACACCCAAGTTTGTGTAACATGTGTATATAATGGACGCGCGAGGCTGGCATAAAAATATTAAACATGTTTCACGAGTGCAGTGGACCACAGGTCAGGTAATCTCGGACACTCCTTGTGTATTATATGAAAGATTACGAAATATAAGGACCACAAGATAATGTTCTTTCTACACAAGAAATTCTAAACCGTAATTATTAACTCTCTACCTTAAAGGTTTGAAGGCTTAGGGACGATTTCTACACATGCACGTTGGATCATAAGGAAGAAGTAACTTCACATTCACAAATGTCATTCTTTCTACACCAAGACCTTTATTATTATCTCTCTACTCTAAAGATTGTAGAGGCTTTACGATGATTTCTGAGCATGTACGCTGACAATAGATCATAAGTAAGAAGTAATTACACTTCCACACATGTCATTATACTCCACTTCTTCCTGCTGAAGAGGAAAATAGCTTCGTAACTTATTTATTTGTTTCTTAATGCTTTATGACGACTTCATGACGCGATCTGCTGTAGGTTTAGTCTTGCGTGGACCTGCCTGAATTCTGCAGTGAGCTCGGTACTAGTCTCCACCAGACTCCT